TGTGTGTGTGTTTCATCAAGTCATTGTAGGTGTTTTAAATTTTTACATTTTTTGAAGCCTTAATCTTTGTGAAATCATCTCCAATTGGTTTCCCTTTTTGTAGACGGCATCACAGGTGAGTTTCCAGTCAGGTTTGTTGTCCAGGGGAATATCATGGTATTCATACTATTTATATGGTATTTAGCCTCTCCCTGGTTTAAAAAACCTGTTGCTATGGTTACAAATTAAATAGATTTCCAAATAAATGTCCAAAAATGAAAAACATACTGGCAACCATTCTTTCAGTTTCAAAGCAGACCAGAGATTAAGAAAATGTGAAAAGCAAGAAAAAAAGTTTGATCCTTCAAATCGAGGAAAAAATATGTTATCTTAAAAGAGAATATTAAAACCAAGGTGGCACAGGTACTCGAATGTACAGCCACTTTAGAAAGTGCAATTCTTGTTCTCTACATTAATGAGAACATTTATTCTATAAAACAGCCAGTAAGCGTATACTATATGCCCGGATATTTTTGTGCTTTAATTTTGACAAATAACAGGACATGTCAAGAAATGGTGCTTAGAAGTAAATGATAATGTTATAAATCAATTAAAATGCCCTAAAACAATTCCAGCAGAATTGTAAACTGTTCACTAACTAGTCCAGAAGCATTACAGTATTGCCTGAAGTTTGCTTCTGGCCACCAATTGTTTTACACCAAAGAACACCTTCCTAAAGAGGTTATGCATTTCACCAGGCCATCATTGGATCCAAGTAGTTACAGTTAGAACAAGGCGCCATCTAGTGGCAGAAGTGTTAAAACATTTTACAGCCTGTTAATTTTGTATTTTATTAATGGCTTAGAATATTCAGTTTTATTCAATTTAAATAAAAGATCCTTAATTGATTCTAAAAGAAAATTTTATATAAATTAAAGAAAGTTTACTGCCTCCTATATTTTATTTTAGAATATGGTGATACAAAAAATAGTTTGTAAAGAGTATTCTCTACTTTTTTGTCTAATAACTGACATAATGAAAACATATTTTTAAGCAATGGATTTAAGTTAAATCATTTCTCTATTTACTATACATTTGTCTCTACTGTTCCTCATTATTTAACTATTATTTAGGCTTTGTTAATACATATTTAGTGCTAAGATCAAGATCAAAACAGGTGAGTTTTAATTGTTTTGTCGTACGTTCGGTCACGGTACTTGCAAAATGCATAATTTCTGTTCAACATTCTCTGTATAAACAAGTCTTTAAAAGAAATGGGATATTTGTTAATAACATGGAATAAGCAATTAATTATCTCTAAAACCTTTACACAGATACAGTTATAAAAAACTGTATATTAAGATTAAAATCTTCCTAAAATAATGGAAGTTGTTGTAGGTTTCTTCTAAACTGGTCTTGAGGTCCTTGCAGAGACACTTAAACATCTAACTCACATTAATCTGAGCACGCAGCAACAGCTTTAAAGACACCGCCTTGCTGGAGCAGTTTGCAATCATGAGAAGAGGAAAAATCTTTATAAGAAAAATGCTTCACTGAATGAGGTGAGCTGTTATAATTCTGGATAAAAATTGCTTAAAGATTGGCTCTGGAGCTGGAGATTTGATGTGCCAGAGAAATGTGATCATTCCAGTATTACTTCATTTTGATCATCAAAATCTGTTCGGTTTTTTGTTTTGTTTTTTATGGAAAAACAAAAAGTAGAAAGCCATTTTTAAAGGTAACGCAGACATGACAAAGCTGCTCTGGTCTCATAAATGAAAGGGTATTCCTTCTAAAACTCTGATGTGAAGTAGAAAATGAACACTGCATAAAGCCTGAACACAACATCGGCACAGTGATAACCTGGTGGCTGCATCATGCTGTGGGAATGCCTGTGCCTCAGAGCTTTGATTCAAATGTCCACAAGTCCAGATCAAAACTTTAGCTGAGGAATTGCGGCAATAACTATTACAAAAATAATAAAGAATGGGAAAACATTGCAGTCTATTTGATAAAGCTGGTAGAGATACACCCCAGCTATGACCGTAATAAAAGCAGTGACTCTGGGAGGGTGAATTAAAAAGCAAACCTGGATTTTTTTGGATTTAAAGAGAAAATATGTCATTGTTTCCTGCCACTTTACATCTGTATACTACATTGTGTTGATTGATCATACAAAAAAAAAAATCTGATTAAAAATACTAAACTTTAAAATGTTGATGACAAAATGTTTAAAAGTTTAAGGGTATTAATATTTTTTGTGGAAATATTAGAAAACCTAATCCCCACTTACAATTATTCAAATACACAAGCAGCCTCTAGAGGCGCTTTAAGCGCAAAGCTTTTATTTTTTTATTTGCCGTTGTTGTTTCCCTCGTTTTATATCTGTGATACGTTTAAGTGCTCCCTGATGATCTCAACGAAATCATACAAAACTCGTTATTTTGATTAAAAATAAACAAAATAACTGCTGTTTACTTTCTACAGAAATTCTACCAACTAATTTAGATACTCCTTAAAAAAGAGTGACATGTATTTGCGTTACTGTTTGCTATTTTCCTTTTCTAATTGTCTGTTTTCTGTTGGCACTTGAACGCCACAAATGCGTTGACCCACTTTTATACACGCTATGTAAACGTTGTTTTTCTGCGTCCATTACAAGAGGAAAGTAGCGAACTTCCGGTAATCTGAGTGGCTTCTTTCAAAATAAAAGTAAAATCTTAAATATATGTAGTTGGTTATCCTATTAATAAGGTGGTTATATTTTTACCGTACATAAAATAAACCAATATAAAATTGTATTATGTGTTGAGAGTTTTAAATAAGTCGAGCTAATAGGTAGCGCCTTCACTGCGTCACGTCAGAATTTTATTTGCGTATTTTCACCGGAAGTGCTCCGTGCTAGCATAGCTAACTTCACTCTGTTTCCGCGTGTTGATGCTGAAGAGAGGATAGCGAACAAACAAACATTTCGCATCGCAGCGAGCGAGAAAAGAGAGGAAAATGGACATGAAGAAGAGGGTTTCTTTAGAGTTGAGGCATCGGTCTCCGGCAGAGGTGAGAGTCCTTAGTTTTTTTATTTTTTTATCCGCAGGAGTGTGCCGTAAACTCCACCGGCAGCGGGAGGAGGAGGAGAGGCGGTGGAGCACATGGTAGCTGGACCTGCAGCCCCGCCAAACTAATAACGCATTTATTTATGAGCTGAACCTAAAGTAGTCCTAAAGTAAAAGTTATCTGTGGAGCTAAATGGTTGACATTGATATATGTGCTTCGGGGTGCCTTTTTTTTATTTTTTATTTTCCCCAGTAAGCGTGTAAACTTCGCTCGGGCCAGCGTCGCTGAAGTTAGCTTCCGCTTTGGATCCTCAGCGCGAACGTTGCGGTTATATTGACTTTTTTTTTATATTTCCGTTCATCTCTTGATGAAATATAACATTATACTCTTAAAAGTGCTTTTGTTAGTTTTTAAACGCACTCGTTTATTAAAAGTATGCTTTATTATAGACCAAAACAATCAAGTTATTTCTATTTGTAGGATTTTCTTTTTATTATTTGATTAAAGGAGACCCCTATACGTTAGGGTGCTGGAGCGCATAGGAAAAGTTTTAAATATCGCAGTCTTTGAAGGTATCCACTGTAGTAAAATCAGCTGCCCAGTTCTAAATTAATAAACGTTAAACATTTTAATTAGACCTGATCAGATTTAGTCTTTAATTTCCAAAAAAATGCGCTGAAATAATCGCTTTACTCCATTTTTCTTTTTTATCAAACCCGAAACCAACTTCAACCTCACATCCGCGTCTGTGTTCGGGACCCGTCTAATCTCTGAAACCACACAACCGCCAAGCTATATTTGACTGTAATGGAGAATGGTCATTACTGCGTGTTGTCAAAGTACTTTCGGATTTTTTAAATAGTGCATAAGTTAACATGTACTTGCTATCATACAATTAATTTAACTTACTGCCGTCAGATTATCACGGACTATTGTTTTATATATATTTTTTTTATTTTAGCGATGGCAGGAAATGGGTTTTAAATCTAAGTTCTCACTCTAAAGCCTGATTGAAACACAGAAAACCAAACTCCAGATGCAAAGCTTTATACATTTGCTATAAAACCTCCTTCGCGTATTGCTACACAGAAACTGTGTTAGTAGTTTGTACCAGCGCTGCTTCAGAAAGTAGTCGCGGCTCGTGCCCGCACTGTGTCGCTGCGCGTGCGTAGGCGCTAGCTTAAAGCTACATTAGCCTCCACGGCAGCGGCGCTGCTCTGCTCTTCTGTTAGTAATGTAGATACTACCGGGTTTACCATTACATTTAATGTATGAAGAATAAAAGTATTGTTTTGAATTTGAACAAATGTAATTTTCTGAAGAAGGAAATAATAATTTTGTATTTGAATAAATATATATATATATATAAGATATCACACCCACGTGCTCGCGCGTGTCAGTAGTTTACAAACAGGGATGGGGATGGGTTATGATCAGAGCCTCCTTCCAGTGAAATGGGTCAAGGATCCGGTCCAGTGTGAAACAGGTCTGGGTCTGTTTAATTTAGAATCAATTGGAATATTTTAACAGTAAATACAGACACATTTTCATCTAGGACATAAGAAAAGACAGGCTGTAGATAAAGAAGGAAAAGAAAGGTTTGCACTGCTACCCACTCTTTTGACCGGGTAAATAACTTCCCTTTAGGGGGAGAGTTTTGTGAAGGGGTAAAGATGGGGTAGGTATGTTAAGATTACTTGAATGTTTGTTCAATAATAAAATAAAATGTGAGGTAGGTTAATTCCCATTGTCCTCATTGTGTTTTACAAAGACACTGAGACGCATGGATTGTCTCATAGGACATTCAGTTAAATGCATCCTGCTTGATTCAGATGCAGGAAGAAAAGATTTGCATTTAAATGTGCAACCCACACCTTGCATGAATTGCCACCCTGAGTCATCCGATTGGTTTGCATGCAAATAGAGACATCGTCGTGTCACAGAGAGAGGGCATTAAGGGGGTTGCTCTGCAACATCCCATAAAAGTTCAGTCATTTTATCTGTATTGTTATTTAGACGACAATGTGATTGGGTTTGTCTCAATTTTTTTTGTGGAATACAAGGAGTCAAAAAAAAAGGGAGACTAAAGGAAAGCAATATTTTAAAAGCTTAGACTCAGCGTACAGACACTAAAGATTTTTTACCTTTTGAACATTGCAGCAGGTAAACAGCTTATAGCTTTTCAGCATGCTGTCATTTTATAATTCATTTGGGATTCTTTATGGATATTAAATGTTGGAATATTAAAGTCGTAGGGAAGTCAGATTTAAATGTCAAATCATTCTGGCTTAAACATGTTTATAAATGTACTATTTATCAGATGATGTTTTCCCAAAAGTTAGAAAATTTAAAAAACATTTTGTTTTTCATTATTTTATGCAGGCCAGTTAGTTATACATCAGCCTGAACACCTAAATTTGGCCAATCACATATCAACGGTCATCTGTCAATCTAATTTTTTCATTTATAGCATCTTGATTCATATGTCGCAGCTAAAATATGCAACAGTTAAAATCAGAATCCTTTCCTTTCCCACTGAGTTCCGTCCCAGTGTTCACGGGGATGGACGTCTGTGTCTTC